ATCGGGGACCAAATCAACAGGTTATTGTTTTGATTGCTAGTGGTACCATCGGAAATAGACCAAATCAATACCTGGGATTGCTCGACGCGCTGGGAGAGGAGATCGATGACGAAATTGACTTGGTTCCCCCGTTCATCAAGGAGATCAAGGCCGTTGTCGACGACGAGCGCATTCGGAAATGAGGATTCATTGGGATCGAAGGAGAAGAAATGGAATTCATGGGACCAGTACGGAATGGGATCCAGGGTGAAGGTTTGATCAGGGCGAGAGTGGTGGTGGGCGACGACGTCATCGTCGGGGTTGTGGAAGTGGAGATGGAGGCAAAGCCGGATCGTGGTGATGGTTATGATGATGAAGATGATGATGGGCCCACAAGACAAGGTGGCAAAAAAAAAATTAAAAAAAGCCTAACCAAGTGTGACCGTTGGCACTTAACGGTCAATAAACAAGACCGTTAGTTTAATTGGACGGAGGGACGACAAGTGCATGCTTTTGCATTGTAGAGGGATGACAGGTAGAGTTAATTGATAGTAGAGGGACGACATGAAGCCAATCCATAGTAGAAGGTTTAGAATGCACTATTTTGGATAGTAGAGGGACGATAGATGGCTTTAACCCATTTTTAGCGCATAAACTTTGAAATTCGATCCTTTTTAGTTTCTCTGTTAAATTTTACATATGTAGTAAGTTATATGACAAAAATTTTAAAGTAGAAAGCAAAAGGGCCTTTTTAGCTTTTTTGTCCCTCTACTTTGACAAAAAGTCCCTTCTTAGTCCTGTACTTTAAGAAATCTCTTTTTAGTCTCTCTATTTTAGAAATTTTGTTAAGATAACGTGTCATAAGATAAAAATTTAACGGAAGGATTACAAAAAGGTCGAACTTCAAACTTTAAGGATAAAAAATGAGCTTTTTTAAGTGAAAGGACTAAAAGGGGTTTTTTTGGCCAAAATAGAGGACCAAATTGAGATTTTAACTAAATTTATTTCCATTTATACATTATAACCAATTTAGTTCTTGATTTTTGAGGATAAGCACTAATTTAATTCTTAAAATTTGATTACAAGTATTAATTTATTCTTTTAACTTTAATTATATATCAATTTAATATATAAATAAAATTATATTATGTTACTAAAATATAACTATTTCATTATACGTTATTAATTTATAAAAAAAAATAATTTTGTTGTAAGATAATAAATTACATGATATTTTTGTTAGTAAAAAATATTTTAATATTAAAAACTAAAATTTAAAGATAATTTTAATATTTTTTTATATTTAAGGATAATTGCAATATAAATCTAAAAGTTCAGGAAATAATTTCGGTCCACTTTACTCTTTAGCCATTTTGAAGTCCTAATATTTGCCCGTCGAAATTGGTTAACAAAACCCTATTTAATTTTTTGGGAAAATTATTTATTTATTGAGTTTGAGTCCTGGAAGAGTTTAAATCTCCGTTGAAGATAAAAGATCTCCATTACCTTGCCGGCTTGCCGTTGTCTCTTCGCAACTCCGATTTCTCCTTTCAAATTCAGCCCCGTCCAATATGTAAACGAAATCAAGCTTCAAACAAAGTTTCTTCTTCTGAAATTTACAAAAATTCTTTCGGTTGCCTAAAGAAGAAAGCAAGCAAATCGAAATATCTTCTAAATTTTTTTCTTCAATATGCCCTTTTTTGGATTCCCAGATTGGGTTTTTTTCTTTGGTGTTAGGGCTTCTCTGCCTTTTTTTTTTAATTTTGATGAATTTTCATTGATGATGAAATAATCAATGTTCTAGGTTACAAGAAGAGATAGCGAAGGAGGCGATAAAGCATGCGTTGGAGGCGTTGCGGAAGAGGCATTTGGTCGAAGAAGGTGCTCATGCGCCGGCAATTATTGCTCTTTCGAGACCTATCATATCTCAGGTCTTTCTCCATAAACTTCTTCTCCCTCACTTTTTACTATTTTAATTTTTGGCAATTTATGCAATCGCAGAGATATGGATTGCACGTAGAATTGTGGGAATTTATAAAATTGAAATTTGGAAGCAGGAGGTTTAAAGTTAGCCATTGCACTTTAGAAACCGTGGATTTGATTATCTATTTTGTGCTTTTCAGTTTCATGGTATTTGGATTGAGATTATATTCAGAAAGTGTTATAGATTCCTAGGTCAGAAGTGCAGTTTACTTAGCTAAAGTGGACCTTATTTGTTGAAGTAAATCACATGATCTTTTCATCAAGTTTAAGTTTTTATATGACTTGCTTCCATATTTTCTTCTTTTTTCATATTCAGAATAAATCAATCTATTTGTTAGATGCTAAATATTATAATATCTAATTTTTCCTTCTTTTCTGATTTATGCACCTTTGTGCTTTATTTAATTTCTTAAATATTTTTTGTTCCTGTTTAGTCATTTAGCTTGTCTATTTTCTTAAAGGGCTCTGAATGGAAGGAGAAAGCAGAAAATCTGGAACTGGAACTTCAGCAGTGTTATAAAGCACAGTCTAGATTATCTGACCAACTAGTGGTGGAAGTAGCTGAGTCCAGAGCCTTAAAGTCTTCACTGCAGGAGAAAGAAGCAGTGATTATTGATCTGGAAAATGAACTAAGTAAAACCAGGTTTCCTTTTATTCTCTTTTAGCCAGACTGCAATTTTTATTTTCTTTCTTTTTGGGAGGATTGGAATTACCGAATTAGTTCTTGGATTTCAAGAATCCATGAGGAGTGACTGATGTAAGGTTAATATTGCAGGGATGAATACTCTCAGTTAATGACAGATTTACAAGAAAAGACTAACGCTCTAGAATTGATCATTTCTGAGAACACAGAGCTTAAAGCTCAACTAGAGGAGACGACCATTAAAGCTAAAAATGCAGAGGCTGAAAATAAGATGTTAATTGATCGCTGGATGCTGGAAAAGATGAAGGATGCTGAAAAACTTAATGAGGTAGGCTATATTATTATTATAGTTGTTGTGATAACTTGGAACAAGGTATTCTGTGGTTGGCTATTACTAGATGCAATTCTACATTGTAAAGGTTATACACCTCTCATACTTTTGTCCTTTGTCAAAATGTAAATAACATTGGTAAGGCAATGCTTTAATTTGAAATTTGGCAGTTGTTCCTCCAATCTACATCAAGGGCGAAGTTTGATTTTCACTCTTATTACTTGCTTCGTTTTTCATAGTTTATTTTATTTTGATCCTGTCAAAGATACATAATTTTTTTCTTTAAAATGAGATTATTTTATTGGTTTAGGCAAATGCACTTTACGAAGAAATGATCGAGCGGCTCAAGGCCAGTGGTGTAGAACAGTTTGCACGACTGCAAGTAGATGGTATTGTTCGAAGAAGTGAAGAAGGTGCTGAGTTCTTTGCAGAATCAACCATTTCCACTGTCTGTAAGCATAGGATCCATGCCCATGAAGGTGGTTGTGCTTCTATATTGTTTGAGTACAATTCTGGCAAGTTGATCAGTGGAGGACAGGACCGATCAATTAAATTGTGGGACACAAATACTGGATTATTAAGTCGTACTCTTTATGGTTGCCTTGGTTCTGTTCTTGATCTTGCTATCACACATGATAATAGATCTGTCATAGCAGCAAGCAGCTCAAACAACTTGTTTGTATGGGATGTTAGCTCGGGACGAGTTCGTCATACTCTCACTGGTCACACAGATAAGGTTTGTGCTGTAGATGTGAGCAAAATTTCAAGCCGTCATGTTGTAAGTGCAGCTTATGATCGTACTATAAAAGTGTGGGATTTGCAGAAGGGTTACTGCATTAACACAATAATTTTTCATAGCAATTGCAATGCTCTTTGCTTCAGCATGGATGGACTGACCATATGTTCTGGTCATATTGATGGGAACCTTCGTTTATGGGATATTCAGACTGGAAAGCTAATTAGCGAAGTTGCTGCACATTCACAAGCTGTTACATCTATCTCTTTATCTCGAAATGGTAATGTTGTGTTGACTAGTGGGAGAGACAATTTGCACAATTTATTTGATATGCGATCTTTGGAAGTTTGTGGCACATTAAGAGCTACAGGAAATAGAGTGGCATCAAATTGGAGCAGATCCTGTATCAGTGCAGATGACAACTATGTTGCTGCTGGCTCTGCTGATGGTTCTGTGTATATTTGGTCAATATCTAAAGTTGATATAGTAAGCACTCTGAAGGAGCATGCTGCTCCTGTCCTGTGCTGTACATGGAGTGGACTCGGAAAGCCATTGGCCTCTGCTGACAAGAACGGGATTGTTTGTACTTGGACTTGATCAGCCATTTGTAAAATGTGTAAATATCGTAGATTGGCAGCCAAGTTGGTTTATTCTGAGCCATTATTTAGCTAACCGGGCCTGGAGCATGAAACAAAGTTACTACTCACTCTAGTAAAGTTTCATACGTGACAGACATTGCCAATTAATTTCTAGAGGATAGGCACAACCTGGGTGCAAGTTGACTATCATTCTCAGAAGGGAAGTATTGAGAAGTCATTACAATCTATATTTCAAGGCTTTCTATATGATTTTCTACGTGATAAAAGAAAGATTTTGTGGTTCTTGATTAGTAGAATGTCCATTGGATTTCTTTATGATACTCGCTTTTATTATTATTTGTCTATGTTATTTAATTCTTGATATTTTATATTGGTAACTGGTTGTAGGATATAAAGCATTGGGCAAAGTACTGTGAATCTTATTTAAAGGTTCCTCATTGTCACAGCTGTGCAAGTGTTGTTGATTACTGGACCAAGTATGTCCTGAGGTTTCCGCATTATCCCTTTTAATTGTTTATTGTTGAGCACTGACTTCCCTAAAAGGTTTCTAGCAGCCCCCCAATGTTATTCTGATTATCTCACTTTCCCTTGTTGAAAGCTATGGGTATTTGGATATCCGGGCAGAAGAGAATTGCTACAAAAGTTATCCTTTCCAGGAGATCCTCATTCTTCTTTCTAGTGATTTCTTCATTCTTCCTGCATGTTGCTTTGAATGTTACTTTTCTTCACCTTTTTAGTGCATTTCTAGGGCTTACCATCTAAACTTTACTTGCTATATTTGAGTCTCTGTAATACCCTTTGTTAACAATCCTCCATAGTTGAACAGCCTGCTCTAGCTTAGTGGCATGGACTTTGGGTTAGAGTCATTCACTTCTTATGAGTGACGTGTTTGAGTCTCACGAATTCTCTTTCTCCTTCCTCCACTTAATGCATGTAAATAATTTCAATATGTAAAAAAAAAAAAGAAAAAAAAGAAAGACAATCCTCCATAGTTATTTATGGCTAAAGTATGCATTTAGCTCTTTATTTTATTAAATTTGAAACTTTTAACCTCTTATCTTATATTATAAAGTTTTGAGTCCTTAAACTTAAGAGTTTGAAGATTTTAGTCCCTAAACTAATGGAATTCGTTAACTCTTTTGTTAGGTGAGAATAAAATATTTGCATGATTAGTTTTTAAAAATTAGAAAATGTATTAATTTAATTTCAAAAGATTAAAAATTTTAAAAATTAGTAAATTAAAAATAATAGGTGGATGAATTTGTCACATATACAAGAACAATATTAGATATTTATAATTAAATTGAGCAATCTCAAATTGAAGAAATAAATATGATGAAAATTAAAAAAAAAAAAAAATTGGTTGTATTTTTATAGTCACTTGGATTTTTTTGTCTTAATTTAGCCAATAAATTTTATTTAATTTCAATTAGAATTGTTTTGTCAAATTGAGTTAATTGCTTGATTTGATTACATATATCTAATATTATTTTAATATATGTGAGAAAGTTATCTATTAATTTTTTTTAGTTTATTATTTTTTTAATTTTAAAATTTTTAGAATTTAAATTGTTATATTTTTAATTTTTAAGGATTTATTTTGTAAATATTTTATTTTTACTTTAAGGGAGATTTAGTGGATTATGTTAACGTAAGAATTAAAATCTTTAAATCTTTAAATTTAATAATTAAAAATTTTATAGTATAAAGTATGAATTAAAAGTTTTAAATTTAGGGTGCGTTTGGGATTGTTGTGAAATGCTGTGATTATAGCTGTGATTGTCTTGTATTGTAACTATAGTTGAAAGTTATTTTGGTATTTGATTATTTATTTTTTAAAAGTATTATAGATTAAATATGATAGATTTTATTAACTATTAATTAAAATTTTATAAATCTTTAAATTTAATTAATTATTAATTTATAGTATAAAGTATGAATTAAAAGTTTTAAATTTAGGGTGCGTTTGGGATTGTTGTGAAGTGCTGTGATTATAGCTGTGACTGTCTTGTATTGTAACTATAGTTGAAAGTTATTTTGGTATTTGATTATTTATTTTTTAAAAGTATTATAGATTAAATATGATAGATTTTATTAATTATTAATTAAAA